AAACCCTGCTATATGCAAGTAAATCAACAAATAGCCTTAAGTGTAGGCAGGTAAATTAAGAAAACTATTTCTGAATATTCTAATGGTTCTTCTGATATTAGTTTATGCTTGATACAGTGGCATAGAAAATTCACAATTAAAAATTATGTAATAATTTTTGATTAATTTTTTAAATAACCATAATTTGGATTTTATATATATTATATATTATAATTTTTATGTAAAAACGTTTGCGGCACATTTTGGCACTGTTGAAATATAAGTACATATATATTTTATGTATAAACATACAGACACACACACAAACACAGACATTTACTGAGCTCCATTTTCAGCCTAACTTTTGCCATGTTTCATGAACTACTTCAGAGCAAACTTTTTATGTGTTATTTTTACAGAATAATCCAGCTCTTTATAATTATTTTTGTACTTTATTTTCTGTGTAATCCAAATTTATTTAAAATAAAACCAAACAAATAAATCATTTATTTTCCTATTTATTGGAGAATTACAGTGTGCCAGCCTTTGTATGAAGTCTTAATAGTAAAACAATAAATAAGACATAGTCCTCCCTTCAAATAGCTTATGGCTCAGTAAGAGCAATAAAGGAAATAGGCAATTTTAGTGTGATGGGGCTGGAATAGAGTCAAGACCCAGCTGCTATTGAGAGCCAGATCAAAGAAGGGCTACTAATTAAAATTTAAGGAATTAGAGAAATCCTTCCTAGAGAAAATGCTAAGTTGAGATCCACATAATTAATTTTGAAAACAATATATTAGTATATCTAATTATATTGAAAAAATGGCTTTCACTACAAATGTTAGGCATATATTTATTAATATCTGCAACTAGCAACATTGTTTTAATAAACTTTTAATTTATTACATCAATTCACAAACATGTCTTTCCTGAACAAGTACTAGTATCAAAAGCAATCTAAGTAGAAGTACGATATAATAAAGAAAGTACAAGTCATAGCCTCTAACTTCAAGACATTTACAATCCAGCCGTGGAACAAGTCTATTACCTATGAAATAGGAGTGAACAATACAAAGCAACGCATGAACATGTGCTGGGATGAAACGACTATAATTGCTACAGGAAATCCAAGCTCCTTCAGGGTAAGAGCCATGTCTTAATCATGTTACTACTCCTGGCTTGAGGGTATGTGTTTGAGAGAGGATAATAAATAACGTAAATTGGGGACCATGATGCTATAGAAAATTTGAAAATGAAATAATGAAAGTGCTATTGAAAGAAGGTTGCTCTGGAATTGCTGCCTAGGATCAGTGGCGGGGATGGGAGGGTACGATAAGGTCAGAAGCATTTCAAGGCTTGGGTGAAGGTTTGGGGGTGCACAAGGAGAAGCATGTGGGCACTACAACCATTGAGGAGAAATTTCATTAGAAAATGATGACTTATCCAATGGGCCAGGGAGAAAATAAAGAACGTAAAGAAAATGTGTTCTAATCCTAGATAAATGTTTGCTACTAATAGAGATGGGCTCAGTGGAAAGAGGGAATCAGTTTGGGAAGGCACTGATGAAGGGTTTAACTTGGGGGATTTCATTTCTATAATGACACAGACGACATCCTAGAACAAATGACTAATTTACACTCAGAGATATAGGATAAGATAAAGGAGAGAAAGTATACAAGCATAGACCTGTGTAATACAAGCTTGGAAGTAAAAACAAAGACCATTAAATTTTAATTATGCTTTCATTCAACACATATTTACTGAGTCCTTAACATGTTCTAGCAATGCTTATAGTCATGGGAATGGAGTAATGAACACAGGAGACAGTGTCCTTGCCCTCATAGAACTAAAATTCTAATGGGGTGACAAACTAAAAATAAATGCTGTAGTATGACATCTGGTGGTAAGGTCTATAGAGTAAATTAAGGTAAGAGAGTAGTGTGGATGGAAATGGTGTGGTTTCTTGTTTGTTCATTTGTAGGTTCCTTTCTGTTTTTTGTTTGTTTATCTCTCTCTGCACAATCTTGCCTTACTGCAACGTCCACCCCCAGGGTTCAAGCGATTCTCCTGCCTCAGCCTAACAAGTAGCTGGGACTACAGGTGAGTGCCACCACACCTGGCTAATTTTGTACATTTTTAGTAAAGATGGGGTTTTACCATGTTGGCCAGACTGGTCTTGAACTCCTGACCTAAAGTGAGCCCCTGCCTCGGCCTCCCAAAGTGCTGAGATTACAGGCATGAGCCACCACACCTGGCCCCTATGGGTTTTGTTTGTTTGTTTTTGTTTCATTATTTTTTTTTTTAAGGGAGATTAGGGAAGACCTATCTAAAAAGGTGATATTAGAGCAGAGATGTGAAGCAAAGGAACATATGAGATATCCAAATTTCTGGGCACCAAATAAATTATTTTGTAAGAGATAGAGGCAAAAGCAGGTGGAATGGCCCTGCAGAGGTATCAGCTTCATTGGAGCAGGAGAGAGAAGAAGAAAGGGAGAGGTGAGACTGGGGAGGTCAGTGAATCTTCTAGGGCCTAGTGAACCATTGGATGTTTCTCAGCTTTTACCTGGGGTAGACTAAAAGCCAGGGAGGATTTTGAGTCAAGGAGTAACGTGAGATGGACCGAATGTTTATTTCCCCTTAAAATTCACATGTTGAAATCCTAAACTCCAGTGTAATGCTATTAGGAGGTAAATAGGTCATAAAGGTGGAACTTTCATGAATAGGATTAACGGCTTTTTAAAAGGAACCCTGGCTCTCTTGCCCTCTTTTTGCCTTGTGAGGATACAAGGAGAAGTCAGCTGTTTGCAACCCAGAAGAGGGTCCTCGCCAGATCCTGACCAGAATGGAATGCTGATCTTGGACTTCCAGCCTCTAGATCTACGAAAAATAAATTTCTGTTGTTTAAAAGCCACCTTGTCTGTGGTATCTGTTGTAGTAACAAACTGACTAATCTAAGTAACATAATCTAATTTACATTTTAACAGGATCACTCCTGCTGTTGTGTTGAAAATAAACAGTAGACAGTGGAAGTTGGTAAACAGGGAGACTATTTCAATAAACTGGGTGACAGATGATAGTAATGGTGGTTAGAAATGAACTGATTCTGGATATATTTTGAAGATAGAGCAAACTGGTTTCTTTGATGTTCATTTATGTTACGACAGAAACAAGGGAAGATGACTGTTAATGTTTTGACTGAAGCACCTGGAGGAACAAAGTTAGCATCTTGTGAAATGGAGGAGACTTCTGAAATGGAGAACTGGTTTGGGCAAAAATTGGGATCAGTTTCAGATATGCTACGTTTAGGATGTATATTAGAATTGTGTGTAAAAATGCCAGAATTTATAGTACTGAAGTTCAAAGCTGTGGTCCATGCTGGAAATAGAAATTTAAAAGTGGCTAGTGTTACATCATCTGTAAAGCTACAACACTAAATGAGATGCCCTAGGGAATGATTATAGAGAGAAAAAATAAAAACTGAGCTCCAAAATGAAGAGGGACCTGTAAAGGGATTGAAAAGAGGTGGCTCTCCAGCTAATTGGAGAGTCATGAGAAAGTGGTTTACTGGTAGCCATGTTAGGAAAATGTTTCTTTTTAATAAATAATTTAGATTCAGGGGATATATGTGCTTATTTGTTACATGGATATACTGCATACTGGTGGGAGTTGGGCTTCTAGTGTACCCATTACCCAAATAGTGAGCATGGTACCCAATAGGCAATTGATTGAAGAAGAGAGCTATCGATTGGGTTAAATGCTCAGATAGACCTACTGAAGAGAGAATTGAGAAGTTACTGATGGATTTAACGACATGGAGGTAATCGGTGACCTGGATAAGAGGTGAATGATTGAGATAAAAGCCTAAATAGAGTTGGTTCAAGAGACAAAGGAAGGGCAGAAATTAGAAACAGCAAATGTAGATAATTATTTTGAGAAATTCTTATCCTAAAGTAAAGCAGAGTGAGCAGAAATAGTTGGAGTGAGGATGTGGGATCTGGAACATGAAAAGTAATAGAAAACAGAAACACTGAAGCAAAAAAAGAAATTATTTTTGGTGCTGAGGACGGGACATCCCAAAGACAACAGGGATGGAATAGCTAGAGATAGACAGGAATACAGTCATCATGGTGCAATATCCTGTAAGCCAATAAGACTGGAAGCATATTGACCAATATGAAATATAGCAGGAAAGACAAGTCGAATGAGTATGGAGGAAAAGCACATTGTATTTATTGAAAAAGAGGTCATTAAAAGAAAGAAGTATCAAAACATATCAGAAAGGTTGGTCTTATGTGTTTTAAAGATATCTATAATACTTTATTTATTTATGTTATTTATAATATTTCAGGTACTCTTTTACCCACTAGGATACAACAATACACAAAAAAATGGGAAAAAGTGCCATTCTTATGGATGTTGAGTCTATTAATTGTTTTTGAAGACAACAACAATAACAAAAAGCTATCAACATTTACAATAAGCCCCCTGTAGTCTCTGGTTCCTATTATTCACATCCTTTTGTAATCCTCTCCCCTTGTGTGAACTAGACTTAATGACTTACTTTTAACCAAAAGAATGTGGCAAAGGTGATGGCATATTGCTTTTACAATTAGCTTACAAGAGATTTTGACTTCCATCTTGCTAGCAAACTCTCCCTCTTGCCTTCTCATCTTGGATGCTTTGAAAACACAAGCTGTTATTTTGGAGAAATCTACGTGGCAAAGAAATAAGAGCAGCCTTTGGCCAATATTCCTGGAAGAACTGAACCCAGCTAACAACCACATAAGTGAGCTTGAAAGCAGACCTTCCCCACACAAGCCTTCAGATGAGATCCCGATTCTGGCTGACACTTTTGTTGCAACGTTTTGAGAGACTCCAAGCTAGATCCCTTTACTAAGTGATGCCCCAATTCCTGACCCACAGAAAAATGAGATAATAACCTATGCTGTTCTAGGTTGCTGAGTTTTGTGGTAATTTATTTTGTATCAGTAGATGAAGAATATAATGACTTAACCACTCACCAACTGTTCCAATGGAGGAATGACATCTTTCAAGATATGCTGTGAATGATTCCTTCTGTGTCGGGATATCTGCAAATATATTGACATTGGATATTACTACATAATTTTTCTTAATAGAGTTTAGTAAGAATACACATAAAAATAACCTATTCAGTGTTATTCAAGCATGTGAATTAAATAGATATAAAATGAGAAGTAAATGTTTTGGACATTGACTAAATTGAATAAAATATGTACTCAAAGATGGCTGGCTGCAACCACATCTCAAACCCAATTCTCTTCTTACCATGTAACCTCGATACCCCTTTCCTTCCAATGTTGGCGTCTGTGTTCTCTCATGTTAACCTGGGCAGAACTTATGCCTGCTTCAATCAAAAAGTACAGCAGAAGTTCCACTCTATGACTTCAAAGATTGGAAAACAAAAATGTCATGCATTTTCCTGTGTCCTCTGAGAACCCTCACTCTTGGAAAATATGTTGGAGGAAACCCAAATCAGACCCACAGAGTGAACACATGGAAAGCCTTATAGGTTTCCGACTGATAGAAAGGCTGAGGTTCCAGCAGACGGCCAGCATCAACCACCAAGCTTGTGAGTATAAAGAAGTCCTCTACCCTTCACAGGCTCTGGTGATCATCATTCTATTCCCTGTCTCTATGATATCAATTGTTTTATAGCTCTCCCAAATGAGTGAAAACATGTGAAGTAAGAAATGACAAATGCTCAGGTTAATGAATACCCCAATTATCCTGATTTGATTATTACATATTGTAGACCCGTGTTAAAACATCACACTACTCTATACATATATATACCCAATATGTACCCCTAATAATTAAAAAATAGAACATTAAATTTAAAAAGAGCCTTAGCCTGGGCAACATAGTGAGACTCTAACTCTACAAAAAAAAAATTTTTTTTTTAATTAGCTAGCATGATGGCACACACCTATAGTCAGTCCCTAGCTACCACAGTGGCTCAAGTGGGAGAATCACCTGAGCCAAGATTTCGAGTCTGCAGTAAGTTATGATCAATACAACTGCACTCCAGCCTGGGCAACAGAGTGAGATCCCACTCTAAAAAATAAAATAAAATAAAGAACTCCCGGTGATTGCCTTTTGGCCGTTGAGTTTCCCCCAACGTTCAAACTTCCCCGAAGAGACCTCAAATATATTGTCGGGTAGAAACAAGCTATTCCTGCTGTGCTTCATCTGAATTTTTGGCCAGACTCTAAGCATGATAAAAACATTGTTTCACACCTCTATGTTTCAAGGTGATTTGTAACTAGGACAAAATATTTCATGTTGAAATGTTTTTTGTTGATGATGTGAGCTCAGCTTTTTCAGAATCAACGTTCTATTAAGTCTCATGTCTTCTATTATTAACCAGATGTGTTTAAATACTCAAAAATCACTTTCTTTATGTGATTTTGGAACAAATTAAAAGAAATCTCAATGTTCTTTCCCCTGAAGAAGCATGATAGACAGATTCTACAATGAAACAAAAAGAGAAAGATAATTTATAACCAAATCTTATACTATTTTATAATTTAATCAGAAGCTCTCATTAATATTGTTTCATATTTACATGGAGAGAGAGAGAAGGAAGGAAGAAGGGGCATGAGGAGGATGAGAAAGAGAGAGAGAAAGAGGGAGAGAGGGCAGTGTAAGAAATTAAAGAAATAAAGCAGGCCTAAGTACTATGTCTTGGAAAGCACTTTATTGTTTTTGGTTCTGATTACTGGCACATGCAACTGACTGAAGGAATTACATCAATGTCTATGAAGATTTTGAGAGAATTGTTTTACCAAAAAAATAAAAATAAAAAAATAAATCAGAATCCTGGCCTAAAAACTCCATGACTCTATACAACCCTGGGGCCCCACATTTGCTCTATGAAAACTGGGTTATGAAGAAAGTAAAAATCTAAGGAGATAATTCTCCCCAATGTTTGCTTCAGAGGTGGCCTATGGGAGATAATTGAGAAGGAAGAGACTTCAGAAAGCAGGCCAGAAACCCTGGAGAACAATGGCCATGGGGAATTTCAGAAAGGAGAGCCGGGGACTGACTCAACTTCCGGGGAAGTTGTCTCACAGAGCCTGACCAGTAGGATTTAATTATTGTTTTGATCCAGTGACTGTTGGCTGTTTACCTATTTTTTCTTTTACAAATGAGAAAGGTTTTTGTTTATTTGTTTTTCCCAGGTACCAAGTTGTTGCTCCATTGTTGTCTATTTGATGCAGTGGGGAAAGTGGGAGAGAGAACTTATATCTCAAGCTCTAAATCACTTATCTGTGCTGTCTCCCCACTCCTCCCACAAAACCTGGACTTTATGGAGAGAGCTGTTTATCACTAGAGATTCTGAAACTTGAGTTTGATGCTGTAACTGGATGGGACTTTAGGCTGTGTCCTTTGGGGAGGTGGATGGATGGATTGCTAAGTTGCGAAACAGGTGTAAATGGCTATATGGCGAAGGGGAGGGAGGGCTGAATGGCAGGCTGGCTGTTCACCAAAATTTCATCCTCTTTTCTAGATGCTACATTTCGCAGCCTGCCTTGCAGTTTGGAGTGGCCATGTGACTAGTTCAGACCAATGGATGTGAGCAGAAACAATGCCAGCCACTCCCTGGCTAAGGCTATTAACCAGCGAGTGTTTCCCCTCCATGTCCTCTCTGTCCTCATACCCTGGCTGGGAAAACAATGAACAAGGCCCTATGGAGGGATGAAGATGCAAGATGGAAGAAGTTTGGACTCTGAATCACCATGTGGGGAAAACCATACATAGGCTAGTAAAACTCACTTTGTTTTCTTTAGTAAATTTTTATTGTGGAATAATTTTGTATTTAAGAGAAAAGTTGCAGAGGGAGTTCCTGAAGAAAACTTTCATTTAACTGTTACATAAGTGAGAATAAGCTTCTATTTTTTGGAACTTTCATCTATTTTAGAGGATTTTACAGCTGCTAGCATTACCTTAAATATGTTACCCATAATTGATGCTCAATTAACATCTAAATGAAAGGTCTTATGCATAAGGAAACTGAGGGCAGACTACTTAGTTAATGGGAGTGATCCTAGAAACCCAAAATTCACACTTATTAATTATCCACTGATACTTCAACTTCTTCTCAGGAGTGGAAGAATATATGCATTTGGTATCTAAACCTCTTTAAAAACAGAAATTTATTTTATCTTGCTATACATTTAGAATGTACTACTCTTAATTACTACTCATTATACTAAGATTTATACTCTCCACTGAAAATTTCATACATATGTCGTATATTTAACTTTCAAGAGTGGAAGAGTTTCAAGATGGAAGGAGTTTTTTTGTTCTATTTCCTTAAAACCCAACTAGATTTCCAGTCTTAGGGCAAAAGTAATTCTCCTGGAAAGTAAAGAACCTCAAGTTTTAAGTGTTAGAGAAGTAGCAAGTAAATGTCTCCACAACATTGATGAGTGGGCACTTGGCCTTTAACTATGTCAGTTGGACCATTTATTCTATGGCTAACTCCATGCCCTCTTTCATCTGACCACTACTAAATTCTTATGGGCTCTAAATATTGTCTCTAAATATTCCCCTCCACTCACCTACAGAAAGCTTTTGTTTAAGGTAATGTTTGGAAATATGTGGTGTACGTATTATTAGGGGCATGAGAGATTATTTTAACTGATGAGTGTTTTCATTGTAATGATTTATAAAACCCTAAGGTTTCATAGAAAAATGTATCACGCCAAAATCACTTACTAGTGATATGAATATATTTTATTTTAAAATAAAGCTATTTAAATTTAAATAATATAGTTAAATAAGTAATTTATGGTATGAAATATGGAAAAAACTCACAAACATAGTAAGTGAATGACTACAGTTTGGGAAACAAATTTAAATCAGAAGACCCAAAATGGAAACTGAACACATACTTATTTCACCTGTGAAGGGGCCTGTTGAGTCCATGGTACAAATAAGAATGCAAATTGAGAAATGTATACAAAGATGATATTGTATGCTAACATTTATTGGGTACTTATTTTCTGCCAGGCATGGTTCTATATGTTTTGCATTTATTAGCATGTTTAATTCTCACCCAAACCTGAAAAGGTTAATAATACTAACCATTTTTATAAGTATCGAAGTAAATCCCACAGTTTAAGTAACTTTGAAAATCCATAGCTAATGAAAGGCATAGGTAGTATTTTAACTCAGATCTAAGAATAAGCTCAACTATGACACTTTATTGTTTCTCCAGCAATATACGTGTGTGTGTGTGTGTGTGTGTGTGTGTAAGCAGTCACTAAATTCTTGGGGAACTTCAAAGTTGAGACCCTCCCTGTGCATAAAAGGCTATTTCTAAGGTAGAAATTTAGAGTCAGACTTATAAATTTGTACACATTTATACAGGATGCTAGAAATCAGGTTTCAAATCTGTTATGAATCATCTTAATACTCCTTTAGGGAAAATAATATTGCTGATCATTCCTAAATCAATAAACTAGCCAATCTATCATTTTCAACCAGGTTATGAAGATGTTGAAAAAAGAAAGCTTTCATCACCTGTCTTTGCTTTAACGTTGTTCTCAGTAAAGCATTAGGCCAAGAAATATGTGATCCCTCCAAATCAGATTATGTTGACTGAGACTTATGATTTAGGAAATTCTGGATCCAAAATGGCTTAATTGGTTTGCGTGGATATCAGGAAAAATTAGGATATTTCAGGTTGTCTTTACATAATATACTTAATTGAAATAATAATTATAAAGAAAACTTGGGTCAACCAAAATCTCATCAAGTAAGTTTGAAGGGAAAAATGTCTCTCCTAAGCCATAGTACAAATAACAGAAAATGTTATAGTACTTATATAGATATTGATTAATAGCTTATTATTATCTGATAATTTTATAGTTATTATGGGACACACTCTTGACAAATATTCAGCTTGAAACATTAGATGTCCTTATGAACCATTTATTTCTATCCAGAAAACATTTCACATTTAGTACATCCGTATGTCAGTAATTTCTAATAGTAGGTGATCAAAATATACTTGCTTGTGTTATAAAATCTCTACTACCAG